CTAGGTAACATCTTCAGTGCTAGAATGGAGTGGGGTTTGCTCTCTGTTTATATACTGTGGCATTTCCTGCCAGTGTACACTAGCACTGAAGATGTTACCTAGCTGGGTAATGAAATGTTTGCAAGAAAACAACCAAGCTCAGAGAACCCCAAGGACTCCACGGACACAGCACTGCCCTATCAATTGACCGCTGACAAATGACCAGTCTAATATTTTTCAAGACACATATTAAACATAGCCTGATACACATCCTCATAGCTAACAGATTTCTCATTTCCTGTAGAAATCCGAGAATTTATTGGGCCATTATTGAAATGGCCCAATCGATTGTGCAGTGCTTTGGATTTGATCTCCAAAAAGTATTTCAAGGCACACAGGAAGGATTCCAGGAAAAGGTGTGGGTCTTTTAAGATGTTGGAGACAGGTACTGTGTTTGCGTTCTTGCATATTCCATAGTACCTTTTGGACATAGAATCGAAAGTAGGGCACAGTCCTGCTGTGCATTCCAACACTTGCGAAGAGCAGCAGTAATGGATATATGTTTGCACTCCAGCTAGTGACAAAGTGCTGCTAGCCTTTAGAATACATTAGAGGAGAGAAGAAAATGCTTGGTGTGCATAATTCTTCATGCCCATGTTTTCCCAATATAACCATATATTTAGAATGCAAATCCTAATGACCTGATCTGTCCACAGTTATGACTAAGATGTACAGTGGTACCTCTACTTACGAACGCCCCTACTTATGAAATTTTCGAGATACGATCAGCTCCGGCCTTTCGAGATACGATCAGCTCCGGCCTTTCGAGATACGATCAGCTCCGGCCTTTCGAGATACGATCAGCTCCGGCCCCAAAAATTTACCTCTACTTACGAATTCGCCTCGACTTACGAGCCATTTTCCGCTCGTTCCATGTGGTCCGTGGCCATTTTTCCGCCCGTTCCACGTGGTCCGTGGCCATTTTTCCGCCCGTGCCATGTGGTCCGCAGCCATTTTTCCACCCGT